TGAACCTATTTACAGGGGAAATTGTTGTAAAGGGAAACATTGATTTTGAAGAATGCAAATCCTATGAAATACTCATAGAGGCCATTGACAAGGGACAGCCTCGACTCTCTGGCCATTGTAGAGTTATTGTAGAAGTAGAAGATACCAGCGATAATGCCCCAGATTTGGAATTGAAGTCTGTATTAATTGAGTGAGAGAGAACGCTGAAGTGGGCACCATCATTGCTCTGATCAGCATGTCCGACAGTGACTCTGGTATCAATGGACAGGTGACATGCTTTTTGACTCCTCAGGTCCCTTTCAAGCTGTGTCCACCTATAAGAATTACTATTCACTGGTGTTGGACAGTGCCATAGATCATGAGCACCCTTCTGCCTATCAGGTGTCAGTGACCGCGTGGGATGTGGGTTCACCCTCCGTGTATGCCTCCGCCACCGTGTCCGTGAAGGTGACCGACATGAACAACAATGCGCCGGGGTTCCCGCAGCCTGAGTACACTGTGTTTGTGAAGGAGAACACCTCGCCAGGCTCCCATATCTTCACGGTGACACGGAAGCACAGGAGAACGAGCTGGTGTCCTAGTCGCTGGTGGAGCGGCGCGTGGGCGAGCATGCGCTGTTGAGCTATGTGTCAGTGCACACAGAGAGCAGTAAGGTGTTCACGCTGCAATCCCTGGAGCACGAGGAGCTGAAGCTACTGCAGTTCCAGGTGAGGGTGCGGGACTCTGGTGTTCCTGCCCTGGGGAGCAACGTGACTCTGCAGGTGTTTGTGCTGGATGAGAATGACAATGTGCCCTTGCTACTGGGGATTGGGCCAGGTAGAGCTGGGCACACTGTGAGTGAATTGGTGTCTCGTTCAGTGTGTGCAGGCCACGTGGTTGCAAAGGTGCATGCCGTGGACGTGGACTCTGGCTACAATGCATGGCTGTCCTATGAGCTGCTGCCAATTTTAGGTGGCACGCATAGCCCATTTTGGGTGGGGCTGTACACAGGTGAGATCAGCACCACGTGTGCCTTGGTTGAGAAGGACACACCACGTCAGTCCCTGTTGGTGTTGGTGAAGGACCATGGCGAGCCTACGTTGATGGCCACTGCCACCCTGTTGGTGTCACTGGTGGAGAGACCAAAAGCCTCACTGTGGACTTTTGTGAGCATGTCAGGCTCTGAGAAGGCGATAGTGGATGTGAATGTGTACCTGATCATTGCCATCTGCACGGTGTTCAGCTTGGTGCTCACGCTGCTGCTGTACACAGCACTACACTGCTCTGTGCTGCCTGGTGACAGCATGTGTGGACCTGGGAAACCCACGCTGGTGTGCTTGAGAGCTGTGGGTAGCTGGTCATACTCGCAGCAGAGGGGGCAGAGGGTGTGCTCCTGGGAGGGCCTGCCCAAGAAGGACCTCATTGCCTTCAGCCCATGTTTCCCTGATTCTAGGAATAGAGAGGAGCAATTGCAGACAACTGAGGATTCCTTTGTTAGTGTATAATATCTTTTTGTTAAATCTGAAGTTGCATGTTCTTTTTGCTATTATCTTCTTTATAATTTTACTTCTGAGAATCAATATCTTCAGCATTTTCTTTGCTTCTGTTCATGTGTTCATCTGCCTTTGAAATGTCTTGAGGAAGGCCCCCCGCGGAGCATGCTTTCAGTCCTAGTTATTTTATAGGCAGAGTTGAAGGATTTCAGAATCAGTAGAGCTCAGGGACTGAAGACCAAACCTCAGCAATGGGGGAAGAGAGTATATCAAGACAATGCATATTGGCTATTTTTGGTTTTGCTTTCTTTTTTTGAGACAGGGCCACACTATGTAGTTCAGGGTGCCCTTGAACTCTGTATGTAGCACAGGCTGGCCCCAAACTTGCAATAATCCTCCTCCCTCACCCTCCTGAGTGCTGAGATTACAGATGTACGCCACCATGCTTGACCTTATATTGGCTGTTTTTGTGTTTCTCTGTTCAACACATATTCATATAAGTACAGTTCCCAATAATCCTGTGTTCCCTATTTTCACCTTAGTTATTTTCTGTGATATTCTCCTTTGCAATAAATATTTTGCTATAATTTATATGCAGTACATACAAAAACATAGACAGAAATTATATATCTACATCAATTCTTAGAAAATGAAAACCCTTAACTGCCATCCCTTTAGCATCTTACATATACCTTACAAATCCTTTCTTCTTATTTTCTTCCAAATGTAACATTTGATGTTTGTAACTGTGTCTGATTGTATTATGTTACCTGAATTTTTCAAGATAGAATTGCACAAAATGTGTTGTGTGTGCTCATTTGTGTATTCTTGATATTTATCACTCATCATTGTTTTTGAAATTTTCCATATTATTACATGTAGAGGGAGCTCATGGAATTCAATTTCTACTATATTTTTTTAATGTACTGAGTTATTTATTTTATACTTGAGTTTGAATCATCTCTATTTTGAATAATTGTGTTCCTAAATACATTGTAGATGTGTTTGGGTGCCCATTTATACAAATTTCCCCTAAGTATTTATCTAGGAATTGTGTTCATGAATTATGGACCATGGGTTCATCTTTATTTTTAGTAGATCGTTACCACCAGTTTTCCCAAACTAGTATTTGTACTGTTTGCCCTCTACCTACAGTGTATTGAGAATTCTTTGTGTTCCATATCATGTTGAAATTGGTCAGGTTTTTTCACAGTATTCTCTTTACCGGGTATGTTTTATATTTTCATTTTGAATTCAATGAATTTCCCAAATTTCTAATGAGACAGTAATATCTATGTTTTGCCTTTTTAAATATCATATTTTGTTTTGTAGCTCTTCAAGTCTCTTGCCTCTTTTCTGTGGTGTTCTTTTGTGTTTTTTTTTTTTTCATGGAACTTCCTTCTTTATTCTGTTATTTTCTTAGGTCTTTAAAAACCTTATAAATATCCTGGAAATAAACTTTTTTACTCTGTTGCTTGTTTTTTATTTTTTAATTGTGCCTTCTTTTGGTGAAAAGAAATTCTTAAATTTTGTTTAATTCACATATGTTTTTTCTTCTTTAACCTATATTAGGAAATGATATTTTCTTTGGTGTCTTTTGTTTTATTGTTGAAATTACATATAAATCTATTTGGAATTTTTTTTCATTGTTTTTATATAAGGATCAAGCTTTTTTTCCCCCAGAGTTTATATAGGATTCATAAAGTGAGATTGAATGTGTTTTTTCACTTCAATTTTTGGTGAAGATTTTGAAAAGGATCAATGTAAAATCTTTTTAAAGTATGTGGTAGAATTATCTGGGGAAGCATTTGTGTTTGTGTGCATGTTTAATTATTGATTTGGTCTGCTCAGTGTTTATATATTTGTTCAGATTTTTTATTTCTTTGTAATTCATAAGATGTATGATACAGTTTGTGTTTCTAGTAATTTTCCCATTTCTCCTTAGTTATTTGATTTGTTGACATATTTTTAATAGTAATCTTATATTTTTATTTTTGTGGCATCTGTCTTAAGACCTCTTCTTTGATTTCTAATGTTGTGTATTTGAACCCCTATTTTCTTAGTCTAATCAAGGGATTGTCAATTCTGTTGATATTTCCTGAAAACCAATTTATAGTGTTTTGTTTATGTTTTTCTACTGGCTTTCTATTCTCTAGTTCATTAATTTCTGCTCTAATCCTTATTATTTTCTTTAGGTATATTTGCTTTACTTTTTCTAGCTTCTTCATTTATAAACTTAGTTTTTTTATTTTAGATCTTTCTTCTTTTCCAATCATACCCTTCCTTTTAGGTACTATTTGTGCAGCATTGTATAAATTTTGGTGTGTTCTGTTTTCTTTTAATTTTTTTTTTTACCTTACTTCAGTTTTTAAAGTTCCTTCTATCTGCAGATTGATATATTTCATGAATTTAAGACAAAAATTAGTAATCTTTCAAATATTGCTTCTACCTCATATTTCCTTTCCTTGTCTTCTGAGATTCTAAGTACGTGTATGTTAAATCTTATCACTATGTCTTTTTATGTTTCTTACACTCTATTTCTTTTTAAAATCTCTTTTTTTCATTGTCATAGGGATGTTATTCCAATATTTCCCTTTTTATTTTTTCCAATATTTCTTTTGTTTTAGTAATTTTCTTCTTTGTCCTGTTTGCTATCAAAATACTCAGCTGAATTTTTACCTTCAATTATATCTTTTTTTCATTTAAATTTTTTTCTTTTTAAAATATATTGTTTGTGAAATCCTCTATGTTCTATAATTGAGCACATTAATCATAGTTATTTGTAATCTGTAAAATAACTTTAATAGCAGAACCATCTGCATGTTTCTTTTTCATTGTTCATATTTTCTCTCATGATACTCTTTTTTATTATGTCTGATCATTTTGAATTTGGCATATTATGCATGAAAAGTTGTTGTAGATGATACTTTCTTCTTCAGAGGAGAGTCATAAACTTTGAATATCTGCCAGATGTGAATTTTGAGTATGTGAAAGAAAGTTGGAATAAAAATAAACATCTTATCAACTTTTTATCTGTTTCTATGTTGTCTGACAGAAAAATCTTTTGAAGATCTTATTTTTGTCTTTAGCAGTTATTATCTCTGTTCTATTCTGTAGACTAGTTTAAAGTGATATAAACAGTAAGAAAAGGATTTGTATGTTATAGTAGCATCTGCTTCTTTCTTTTCTTCTACTGATTAATAAGAACCAAGAATATTGATGTTTTCTCATCTTTAAATAATCTACTTTTTTTGCCTGGGTACTGGGTAATTGTATAAGGTATTTTACCCCTACAAATTTTCTACTGATTTTAACCAGGATTTAAACATGGGTACAGACTGCGAGATCATTTCCTTCCATTTAACATCAACTGTATGCCAGAAACTTAACAAAACTCCTGAGTTCACATGTTTGAGTTGAGCTCTTTGTCCCTTTACACTAAATAACTAATAAAAGCAATACAACATTATGAAAAAATCATTGATTTCATTTTTTGAAAATTCATACCTATAAATTGTGATTTTCCTAATTTTTTCTATTCAAAGTGGATATATAAATATTTCAGCACTGTCATTATTATTGTTCTTGACAGTGCTGGGATTGAGCTCAGGCCTTATTCTACCCAAACCCAGCCCTAGTGCAGCTCATAATAGGGAGGTTATGCTTTCTGCTTTCAGCCATTATTCAAGAATGGCAAGATGTGTACTACATATGCATATTATACTTTCCTAGCAGGGTTAATTTGTACACAAAATTAATTTAGGGGGTCAGATAGCATAGTTGCATGAATTGTTACATGCAACTACATACAATTTCTTCAAATTTTCCTTATATTCTTTTGGAATTTGATGGCACTAGATGGTTTTCTGTAAGTAGAAGGAAATATTTCTTTGAATAGAAAATATTTCTTCAAAATATTTTCCTGGATTTTGTTGAGAATGAAATATATTCAATCTTATGCAAGTTAAATTTTTTCATGTTACTGAAAATTTGCTGAATTTTTTCAGTAAATAAAGTTCTACCTTAAAATGTTGTATGGTTCTCTCAGTCTAAATTTGTTCTTGGAGTGTGGGATGCAACTAAGTAATAGAGTGCCTGTTCAATCCCCAGAGTGCTGGGTTGCACCCTAGCACCACAAAAAAATTCATTCTTAAAGATGGAGTTCTATTTATACAGTGGTGTTTAAATATAACTGACATTTCTAGGTCAGTCAAGAAACTAATCTGTAATATATAACTGAAAGAATTGCTTGGAAGAGTTAAAGATTTTCTTTTCCTATGGATTTTCCTATGGATTTTTCCATGGATTTCAGACTTGAGAATCTAATTATTAAGAAAGTAATCTTTACATTGGGTTGATTTTTTTTTTTTTTGTCTTTTTTGGAGACAGGGTCTCACTATGCAGTTCAGGCTGACCTTGAGCTCACTTTGTAGCCCAGGCCAGTCTCGATAATCTTCCTGCTTCAGCCTCCTGAGTGCTGGGATTACAGGCTTGTGCCACCACGCCTGGCTGGGTTGATTATTGAAAAACAAATGGTGATAATTCAGAAGGCAAATATAATTTAACAGATGTGAAGATAAGTAAAGTGCCAAGAATTTTGTTTACTCCTGAAATAGTTACACAGTAACATGAGGGTTTTGCTGATACTGAGGGTTGAACCCAGGGTCCTCCCACTGAACTACATCCTCAGACATTTTCTATTACTTCTTTTGAGACAGCAACTTTCTAAGTTGCTCAGGCTGGGCTCACACATGAGATAATATGAATTGACAATGTTTGTGATATTTTCCCCATTGAACATATTTATTTATTCATTATTTTTGAAATGACTCTGTAAATTAAATGCTCACATTGTTAATACTACACTGTCAGTTATGCCTTTAAGTACTTAATATTTACTTTTTCCCAAATATTTCATGTGTTTTGTGTGATTTTGTACCATATCCCATTGCTACAGCCTTGTAGTTTCATGTCAATTACTGTTCTACAGATAAAAATAGCATCAGTTCATGTCATTTTCAAAACACTTAGTATCATGTTTTGTCCCACTGTGTATTAAAATATTTAATAATTATTACTATGAATAAGTACTAGGTAACTAGTCTTGAAAATTTGTTAGTTTTTGTTACTCGGATTTCTGACGTATCTTTCCCCAAAGTACTACCCTGGAAACAATTCTTTACGACTTGGACTTCGGGGGATACTTATATTCACCAGCGGAATATAAATGATCTGACTGTTTAGGGAAAGTCATGATAGTATAGATGGTAAGAATATCATAGAACTTTAACTAAAGGAAGTGATACATACACTTTTAAAGATTATATACCATGTATCACAAATTCTGTGAAATTGTCTTATTT